ATGTTTGTAATAAAATAAACTTTTACTAAACGAAGCCTAACTGAAGAATTAGCATGTCTTTCTAGGTTGTGATGATATTTTGCTTTGGTGAAACGTGAGGCAGTTTTGTCTTATTAATATATTTCTAAAATTCCGTTAAAAAGTATTGAGAAAAATGGTTTAGTAACTATCGTTTTCTTTGACATTTGTAGAAATGGCAGGTATTCCAAATTAAGCCTTAGAGGACTGAGCTAGAAATGGAATTCAGAAGCCCAAATCCCTACTATGAACATGTTTTTTAAAATAATCTAAATCTATGTTATTAATCTTATAACTGGAATTTGCATTTATGTTTATTTTCACCTCAGCCCGTCCTTTCAGTAATTCGTAACAGACACGTTAAGACCACGGGTGCTTATTGAAGCGTGAATATGAAACTATAAAAATGTGATGATTTTTCAAGTAATATCATTGTTGATGTAAGAATTATTGATTTGAGAGGCAGTTGAAATAGTTCACCATCATTATAAAATTTTCTGTAGAGATCAGAGCCTGGAGCGAATAAATCAGTCAAATGTAAAGTAACAAAAAGTAGCATCATATGCAGCCAGGCTTTTAAGTGTTTAATCCAGTTCATGTATCTTTCTTTCTTTGCTTCATACTTCTGCCCACAGACAAGAGTGAGATCGCTCACCGCTACAAGGATTTGGGAGAAGAGTTTTTCAAAGGCCTGTAAGTTAAACTATTGAGGAATCAAATTTAATGGCATTGAGGTCCAGCCTGGTGGAAAGAATCTCTATCAGTGCTATCCAGTATGGTAGTCATCGTTCCCAAGCGCCAATTGAACACATTGAATGTAGCAAATGGAACTAGGGAACAAGATTCATAACTTACCTTAATTGACATTGAATTTAAATGATCACATGGGACTCTACTGTGTCGTGGTAGTCTATTGGATAGCGTAGCTTTGAAGTTCACATGTAACCTGCAGGATGGAAGCAACTCTAGTACATCGTTCCCTTGTCGGCTTAATTACAAACCCCCCTTTGCATAGCAAATAACCCCAAAGTTTTTCAGGGAATATGTTAACGTTTTAAAAATGTAGCAAAAATTGAGACTCCCTTATTCTTTATGTTTTTGCTTTGGATTCTTTTTTTTTTAAATCCTTTTATTAGGGGCTCATACAGCTCTTATCACAATCCATACATACATCAATTGTGTAAAGCGCATTTGTACATTCATTGCCCTCATCATTCTCCAAACATTTGCTCTCCACTTAAGCCCCTCGCATTAGGTCCTCATTTTTTCCCCTCCTTCCTCACTCCCCCTTCCCTCAAGAGCCCTTGATAATT